ACTTATGTCAGGTTTTGTGATAAGAATACATTTGTTCGAGCGTAGAGATTTTATAGCCTGAAAATGTTCTCTATGCCAAATCACGTACTCTGGCCTTTAGCGAACTTAGTTCTTCCTCCGATACTGGTTTAGGTTTAGTAAGTTGAGCATATTAAGCTTCAAATTCTGCGAAAATCTTCTCTCTCTGGATATTTTCGCAGATTTCGAAAATAATATTATATTTTTTTTTTATCACGTGAGGATTTGTTACAAATCGGGAAGAAAAAAAAACTCTTACTTAGATCAAATTATTATTTCGTTTACCACAATGAACAATTTTTATTATTATTTTTGGGTTCTAGAACGATCGATAAGGCTCTCACGTAGCGATTTGTTTAGATAAATCTATAGCTAGTGGTTGTCAATATTATAAGCATAACAAAATGTGACCCGATTTCAATAAAAATGATTCACTTATCCAAACGTACAAAAGACATTTTGTGAAAAATCTGTTCGTGATCGAGAAAAATTGATATCATTTTCGGATTTAGCGCACAGAAATTGCTGGAGAACATGTAAAAATTTCAAGACAATAAAACCATCGCAGGCCTGTGTTATTGAATTTCATGTTTATAGCTTTCGGTTGTGGATATTAAATCCAAAGCGTTGTTATACTTTCAAATAATATAACTTAAAGAAGTGTATGTATATGTAAACATAATTATGTATTTAAAGATTAACTAGCCTTACCTGGTCTTGTCAAAAAATCGTTGTTTAAAAATCGTTTCGTTTGTTTTTTGTCAAGCACTATGAGCTATCTGGACTGTGCCGACCGAAGGGTTCGAACCCAGAGTTTTATCGTTATAAGCTTTCAAGCTTTATTATTGAGCTATCAGGGGGCATCGTATCAAACTAAGTGCTATCTGCAATAGCATTTAATAATATTTTTTAGAGAGAACCGCTAGTGAAAAATTGAAAATATAAGATAGATGGTATCGTGAGAGATGATTAGCAAAGATTGAAAACATCCGAATTATAGGTCAAAACTACAAAAACTAAAGAAAGAATGCTGTAAAACTCTAAATTACCAACAAAATGTATCATACTAGCAGAAAATGGGTTACTTTATTATATACTTTAACTTTCTCACGTGTACTCTCGAAATTTGTTAAACATATATTCAATCACAAAATAAAGAAAGATCGGTGAGGTACTTTTTGATAATTTTAATCTCGAAAAGCATTATGAATGTGTTGATTAGAATATTCTGGACATCTTGTAGACATGTTTGTTGTACATATTTCCAAAACCATCTGGCTACAATATTAGGACCCCACATTATATTCTGATGATCCACCTTTTGTTGCAAAAACACCCTCGTCTTAGCATATGAAAAGGCGCTGTACAAAAAGTTTTGAATCTGTATTGTGTGACAGCAGCCAATTATATCAAGAGTGTTGGCAGAAACAGGGTCATAGCTGTTGGAAGAGAAAATAGTAGCAATTGTGACTTCCAAATTCATTCTAAATTGATTAATCGATTAACCTGAAATCCAGTGATTTTACTATTTAAGAAATATGATTGAAGTCACTCTCATGTTCTTGAAAACGATTTTGGACAAAACGAGCATTATGGGTTGTTTCAGTATCATTTTGGAAGAGACTATATTTATCAACATTATAGGGTAAATTTAACCAGTAACAATACACAGTAACACCCTGAATATCATTTATCTCTATAAAGAAGTCAAAGATCCCCTCACATATCACATATTTAGGTACACCCTGAATATTATTTATCCCTCTAAAGGAATCAAAGAGCCCCTCACATATCACGGGACCTCTTCTCATACTATTAAAGGTGTAATGCTGTTCAGGATGTCTACGTGTGGCAGATAGTGGAACTACCTTCAGTAAAGGTTAGATGCGAAATAAGCAGGGGATAACTCTGGCAAATAAGCAGTCGTGGACCAAACAGCGTCAGTGCCAGTAAGATAAGAAGTTCTCAAAAGCGAAGGAGGCAGAAGAAGATGTTAGAATCTCAATGGGTATGAAGGAAGCTGAAGGATGCAGCAAAGCGAGACCACCAATCTTCTTGGTAATCTTGCTATTGAATAACGGTTTTGTCTTGTCAAGAACCGTTTAAAAGCTGGTGTTCAATAGTTTCTTAATTCACAATAACAATGTCACACACGGGAATTTTCTGTGGAAACAACATCTTTTAATATTTTTCAAGTCCTTTGGCGATCAGCTAGTGACGATGGGAGCAGTATAGTGAGATCTAGATGCTTCTAGTCATAAATTGACATGAAGACGACAGTTACAAAAAAATCGTCTAGCACTTGGGAGACTGGAATGTTAATGCATAAACGTACTATTCCGAAAATTGTTTAATCTCGAAGTCTAAGTTTATGAGAAGTCCATTTCAATATACACCTTGATCAACGTGTGTTATTGGGTTATACTAATTTCGGAGGATTCCACTCCTCATCAGTAACCCTGAACACAAGTTAACCAAAGAGAAATAAGCTGTACCTATATGATAGTGAAAAGCATCAAACATATCAATAGTGGCCAATGAAACTATTTTTTCACTTCACCTATCCAGTGTATATGTTTTTTTCTCAGAGTGACTACAAAGCACGTTCACACCAACAGTATGTTTGAGGATGGAGTGTTGTCCAAAAGTAAAAAAATGCGACTAAACAGTCCTCTTCTGGATCTGCCCTGCTCACCCCACATAGGGAAGAGCCTAGAAGAGGTGCCCTAAGTATAGTCTGTCTATCCTTTTTCTGATTTGATAACAGCATCCAGTTGGATCACCATTACTGTGGTCAAACTCAAGAAAGTTGCAAAATCAGTTTTGGGACTTAAGATATTAGGGCCCTCATATACAGTCATAACAGTGAATGCCACTTCAATTACGGTACAAGAACTCAAATGATATGTCATTGATATTGCTGCCTTGAGCAAGACACGACGAGCCTGAGAGGGGGGGGGAGCTAAAGGAACAAGGAGCTAGTTATATCTTCTTCTGGAAGGGTAAAGAGGAAGAAGAAAAAAATGACGAAATCATAGTGTTGGAATAAAAAAGTACCTTATGGCTCTCTTTCTCAAACTAGCAGGGAACTGATACACCACTGTTATCAGCGTATATGACCCGACTATTGACGCAGAGAATAAAATCAAGGACAAATTTTACTCCAACTCTTATCAAGTCCTTTCTGGCGTTTCAGAGGAAGAAATATTTATTCTTTTATTTTTCTCGGCGACTGCAACAGTAAAGATGGAAAGGACTCAAACCTCTGAAATGTAACTATTGGCAAGGAAGAAATTAGGAAAAGTCAACTGTATTAGCATCCTCCTCTTGATGCCTAAGAGGGTCTTACAATCATCAACACACTGTTCTGCCAGAAAAATTATTACAAGACTTTTTGGCAACAACTATGCTTCAAGCATTGACATTTGATTGACTACATAAATGTCTGTGCCTGAAATCACAAAGATGTTCGTATTACTTATACTAAATCAGGAAATTACAACTGTTGGACCAATCACAAAAGGGTGTAAAATGATTCATCAAACCACCTTATATATTTCTAGTCATTCAGTGTTAACAATATGTGCTATAAGCACAACGAAAGACGTGTTTTACCATTTACATTTGAGGTTAGCAGTATTCAGACTAATTTCAATTATCATATGATATTTTTATATTGTTCGAATCAGTCAGATGGATCTCAAAATATTGCCCATTGCGTTAAGAGGCCATTTCAGCCATCTTTCCTTTAGATAGTTTCCAGCAGTTGCCAGTCAAAGTATTCTCAGTAGCAGAAATTTTTCGTTATTATTTAAACTTTTGGTACACTGTTAACTGTACTTGAAAATATTCTCAGCTTAATTTCAACGGCTTTTTGTTTCAATGCGTTAGCATATACAAATATTTGAAATAGTGAAATTAATCTTCTCTTTAGAATGGCTTTAGGTTATTAAATGTATTCCATATTCATTAGGGATTCCTAAAACATCATAAAATAGCATAAAACTACATGCAATAATGTCATAATAAAACTTTATCAACTAGATTTTAGCTATATTATTTTGATTATTGAAGTATGTAATCAATGCCCGTCTAATCTGATGTATATTATTCCTTATAGTTTATCTATTTTTATATTTGAATTAGAGTATTTTTATGACGTTATTTTAAAAGAAAGAGGTCTTGTAACCTCTCTCTATGTTTGTTTGTTTTGAATTTTGCGCAAAGTTACACG